CTCTGACGCATCCGTCACTGTGGGCAGATCGGTACCGTACCCATGATGATACCGTAATCGGCATGATGAACACTCAAGAATGAAGATGACACCCTCCTAGCGTTTCCTGACTAACACCCGACGTGGGCCCTGAATACATCTACCAGGGCCGCCACCACGTCGCCGATGACATTTTTGTTGTTGGCTGAATCCGGACACTCAAAGTCCCAACTAGTTATCATTATTGCTCGTACTGGCTACATATTTGTGTCTGTCCTGTGTTCATGCTGTGACCTTTGCCTTCCTCATTGTGTGACCTTTTGCTCTTCCCCCGCAGGCGGCTGGTCGTCTGGGCATTGACGGCAAGGGAACCAACCAGCAGCTGCTGGCTAACGTCGTGGACGAACTGCGGGCCATCGTGTGCTCCTAACTGGAACTGGAACCCTGACCGGTCAGCGGTGACGTCACCTGGTCGTCCTGTGACGTCATCTGCCCCGAGTGTGGCATCATCAGGTACGGCAAAATGATGGAAGGACCCGCGACGCTGGGGACACAGGAAAGAGCCAACTGCTCTGTCCGCGGGCCGAGGTTAACCCGATGTCACCAGGCCTTGAAAGGGTGCTACTGACGTCACCAGGTGTCCCCCTGACGTTACTGCACCTTGGAGTGACGTCACTGACGCCGTGACTGATATCCGGGGCCGGCGTGTGATGGCAACCCGTCAGAGGCGGTAGGTCAGCCGGTCCAGTAAGAGGCACAGATCTGTGGGCTGGGCTGCGGCGACCGGCGGCGTGGTCCAGGGTAGTGTGTGAGATTAGGGGGTCCGGCCGGCCCCGCCCAGTGAACGAGAGACCCGCGCCGCCCGACCGGACGCTCCCAGACAGAGACAGGGAGAGACGCGTCTCCACGGGGGAGGCGAGCCGGACAGAAAGGCCGCCAAGAGACGGCTAGCGGGGTCGGGCCGGGTCGGCAGTGCTAACATTCGTGATACACCGCGCGCATGTGGGCTGTTGGGCGGAGCTGCCGAAAACGTGCCGCCCCGAGGCGACAATATCTGACGGACGTGCGCGCCGCTGTTGGGCATGATAACCGCTGGTTTCTGACTGTGTGAGTGTGTGGTGCTCCGTGCGCGTGCGGTGGGCGGCCTCCGGCGTCAGAGCTGCATTCCACCGCTGGTATCCGAACCTGTACATAGCCGGGAGCTTTTATATTTAAACGGGCGTGCGCGGCGGTGGGTGGCCGCCCTGTTCTCGGTTGCGGGATTGTATTGTGATGGGTGTTACCGCCTGCTTCTGCTGTTGGCAGCCCGCGCAGGGCCGCCGGCCGGCAGTGTGCGCCTGTTATAACCGGCCGGTGTATTTTGGGGGCGGGCCGGGATAGAGCGTAGCGAATCATCTATTTTGTTCCCGCCTTTGTAAAGTCTATTGTATACCAGGTATATCATTAATCGGAAATACACTATTCTGACTAGGTGACTGGCGTTTGAAGTTGACGTTAATTTGTGCTGCAAGCTGACACCGAAAGTTCCAGTTGAAAATTGGTACACCAGCAGCGAGCTCAAAGTTGTTGGACTCCATGCCTCGGGTTGTTACCCTCACCAATCACGCACCAGCTCACTGGACGCCTGCCCCCCCCCCCCCTCCCCGCTCTCCGCTCTTCTGTTCCCCACCTCTGCAATGCAGCGCGGCGGGCGCGGGTCGTATGCACAATGGCACCGTTATATTGCAGGCAGTGACACACCCCGGCGGGGCGGCTGTTGTGACCCCCCCCCCCTCCCCCAGCAGCTAGGACCCTCTCCTCTCCCTCATCCCTGTGAGGTGGGTGCCGAGTGGTGTTACCAAAGACAGAACATCACATTGTCATCGGAGCGGTATGAACGGCTGCAGGTGAATCATGATCGAACTGGCTGGTTTTGAGCGTTTGGTGTGCTGTGTGGCATGTAGGCTGTGGGAGACCGGGCGGGCAGCCGGAGTAGCTTGGCTTATTATATAGGGGAGAGTGGGGAAAGATGCCCAGGGTTTTGTTATGTCATATATTATTCGAAAATGACGATCGGAAAGCAAAAACTTGGAGTTTCAACGGAAGCCGATATCATTTTTCTCCAAAAATATCACACTTTCGTGCCTGAAATATGATAACTTTTTTGCTATTAAGCATTTTCCCGAAGAAGTGAAAGGGGGCATCTTACCCCACAGGGTGGGAAAGACGCCCCCTGGCGTTGGGGAAGATGCCCCCTGCACTATAAGTGACATAAATGGGCACGTGAATCGCCTGAACGAATCAGTAGTCCCTTCGAGCCTGCAGTAGACACCAAACGTCATCGTAAGGGCCCTCAAAAGTAGTCGTAAGGGGCTTCAGAGGTCATCGTTAGGGCCATCATAATCCAGCGCGGCCAAACAAGCCTCCGTGGTGGCGTTCGAAGACCATTGTGGGGCCCTTATAGGTCTTCATGATGCTTGAGGTCCCTCGAGCCCATCGTGGGGACCTCAGATGCCAGCGCGGCCCGTAGAGCCAACGTGGGAGCCCTCAAAGGATGTCGTGAGGGGCCCTGGAGCCAATAATGGGGCCCGCAGAGGCCGTCGTGAGGGCTCTCAGAGTCAGATGCCGCCCAAAAAGTCGCTGTGTGGGTCGAGAGACCGGCATGGGGAGCACCCGACAGTACTGGACTCTCAATAGTCCCAGATCAGCTTTTGTCTCTCATCACAAGTATGTAATAAATGATTTGACGGGCTGCTTGAAGGACAGGCTACGGATTTAGGGGGGCGTCTTTCCCCATCAGGACAGGGGGCATCTTACCCCAAGGTACCGAAGTAACATTAAATCAGTACAATTTGTGAGCCATAAAACTACACCCTGAAACAAACTGTTTGGGACACAGTAGACGCATGTTAATGTATCACGACTATAGCAAGGGACGCAAAAATTATATACCTTCTTTGATATTTACAATGTTCTGACACCAAAATATTTTTTGAAAGCAGCAAATAAAAAACATGCAATCACCAGCCAGCCGTTGCCCAACTGAGCTTCGCAAATTTTTGTGCAGGCAGGCTTCTGCTTTACGCTAAGAACATTAATTTCCAGGTGCGATTCTTTGTTTCGTCGCTAGAGGGGGTGGGGCGTCTTTCCCACCCTGGGCATCTTACCCCACTCTCCCCTATGTACTACATTTGCATCTTGCCGACTTGCCGTACTGAGAGCGAGGCGAACCGGTCACCGCTTCCTGCTCGTAGTTATTACATTCACCTGCCAGCGGTCACGACATCGACGGGTGTGTCAAATATACAGAGGTCTATGGTAACGACCATAAGTCCAGTCCTCTTCCGTGTCTGTATGGACTGAGGACGGCGCGTGCTGGTCACTCACAGACTACCCAGCCCGCATCCGTGCGGCGTGCGACGTGCCAGTCCGACCATCCAGCCATGCCGAGTCGGGCTTACTCACGTGTGATACATGCAGGGGACCCCGATAGGACACAACCGTGTGTGAATAGGAGTGCTTCCCGGCTGACTATAGGACCAGGGCTGTGTGTGCCCGCTGGACTATGGGGCTGTGTCTTGTTTGATTGTTCTTACTTTAACTGACCGGGAGTACCTAAGTGAATTGTGCCAACAATGGTAGTCATGTCAGGATACATTATGACAGTTTCTCGCTGTTTCAGTCATCTGAATGACCGGGTCTCGACGACTTTTGTCGTTCCTGCCCCGGTGGCCCAGTTTCGGTACAAAAAGACTTGGTGCTTCTCTGCGTTGGATCGTATTTAATAATCCTCCATAATGTTGGTCATTTTTTTCAACCGTTTCGCTATACATTTGGGAAAAAGTGTTGATAACATCGCACAGTCTAGTTCATTAGCACAGCCAATTAACATAGATACGGACGTTTAAAAATGACTTGCAAAATGTTGCTGCATAGTGTATTGTTTCCAGAATTAGCTGTTCTGTGCATACCTCTCATGACATGGATCTCTCTCTCTCTCTCTCTCTCTCTCTCTCTCTCTCTCTCTCTCTCTCTCTCTCTCTCTCTCTCTCTCTCTCTCTCTCTCTCTCTCTCTCTCTCCTCTCTCTCTCTCTCTCTCTCTCTCTCTCTCTCCTCTCTCCCTCTCCCTCTCCCTCTCCCTCTCCCTCTCCCTCTCCTCTCCCTCTCCCTCTCCCTCTCCCTCTCCCTCTCCCTCTCCCTCTCCCTCTCCCTCTCCCTCTCCCTCTCCCTCTCCCTCTCCCTCTCCCTCTCCCTCTCCCTCTCCCTCTCCCTCTCCCTCTCCCTCTCCCTCTCCCCCCCCAACTCCCATCCCTCCCCCCCACCGCAGTCTTCCGGTAGCCGCCTACACCCGTCCTCATCCTCCTCCCGTCCGCTACTGCGGTCGACAGGGTGTTATTACCGCTTCCTTACCCGGCCCGCCCGTCTCTGTCTCTAACACGGTCCAGCGGGCCCGGAGAGACCCGCCCTGGGACCCAGCCGACGACCCCGTCTCCCGGTGTATTAAGTGGTGGATTGACGCCCCGTACCGTCGTCTTTACGGACGTGGCCGACGCTCCGCAGCTGGTGTTAAAAACTGGTGCCGGCGACTCAAAGGGCCACTGCCGTGCGGGACTTCCTGCTGTCAGGTCAGTTCGGTGTCTGTGGGGAGTCGGAACATTCTTTAGAGGGTTAGAGTTGAACATGACTATTTGTGTCCAGTGTGTTATATCCAGCTCAGCTGCTCTAAATAGCCCGCAGCTCCTGAAATATTGTCATGTTTGTACGTATTCTGTCACTAACATCTATCGTGCCGTCTCCTAACAGGCTTGCTCCAAGACATACTATCGTCCACAGCCTCTCCTCTCCATCCTGTGGAATTCAGAAGCGGAAGCCAGGCCACCACCAGCCGCACCAGACCATCACCAACTGCACCATCAGCAGGCACTAGCTACAGCACCACCAGCCGCTGCCGTCCGCTGGTCCCAGCGCCCCCGACCAGCGCCGCCGCCATGCTGGGACGCCTGCTGGTGCCGGTGGCGCTGCTGACCTTGACCTGGGGTCACATGGGTCCCAGCAGCTACTGCCGTGATAACCAGGGCTATTTCTACCACTGCGACGACTCCAGCTGGGGATCGGGTAACTCTTGGGTGAGTAGTCCACCTGCGAGTGTATTCAATAACCGTTACCTGCATTGTATTTGACCGCGTAATACTTTCCCGGCTTGCGAGGAATGTTATCGAAAAGTGGAGCGCATTATGGGTTATCGTTCTAACGCAAGTGACCGTTGACGTAAAACCGTGATTCGACTAGTTATGACATACATATAAGTTGACCCATTCTGGTTGACTAAACGTCACGACCAACGTTCGCACACCGGCTATGCACGTTTTACCAATTAGCTGTCAAGCTCCTTTCACATCTCCTGAGTGTCTCTCCCAATAAGTTAATTTTGTCTTCCCATCAGTGTCACTGATTTTTTTTTCTCAACAATTTGTCACTGATTTGTTTCTGTTTCTGTTTCCGCAGCGCCGCTGGTACGGTGAGGGCGGCTACAGCGACCTGTCCCGCAGCCTGGGCCGGGGTCAGGTCACGTTCGCCCCCTCTGGCGGTGTGCAGCTGACCTGTGACTTTTCTCAGACGGGCCGCTCCGACTGGGACGGGATGGTCACGGTGAGTCAGCTGTCGAGACTATCCGGGGTCAGAGGTCGATTCATACGTGACTCGCCTGTTGCTGACGATGAAAGATATGAAGTTTGAAGTCTTATCTTTCTCAAGAGTTTATTTTTCACCTTTCTTCAACGTCCTTGGAGCAACAAAATAGTAGCAATAAAAATAATACCTGGATCTACACCTTATTCAAAACGTGTTTTTAGAAGCTTGCTAGAGACGTTAGCAACAGTGTGGAGTAGAAGGTATAGCTGGTAACAGTAAAAGGAATAAGGAAGAGGAAGAGCTAGCGCCAACAGACCGCTTACGCGAGAACGGACGTTTCGTCCACCCAGCGGCACTTTCTATCGTCGTCAGTTCTATCGTCGGTCTATGTAACAACAACTGGTGAACATCATCGCAATCCAACTCTTCCTAATTTGCATTTGAATGCATGTTCCGGGTAACATCATGAGTTCACCGTAAGTCTTTGAACCGGGAATGTTTTACAGTGATTACAATGACAATGTAAGGCAAAGACGTGCAAGCGTTTAGGTAGCACAAGCAATAAAACGGCTTGCATCTAACATTAAATCATGTGCTTACGCCTCTCTTTTGAGGCTTACTAACATGATCTTTTGTTGTTGCTGGGGGATTCTATTCATCAATTTTAATGGATAGGTGCAATATAGATAGGACGGTACGGTTCGTTGTAAAATGTTAGTCTAGCTTGCTTTCCTCCGTAACAGCCTTGAAAAAAAAAAAAAACGGTTACTCACTGGATCTTACGTTAATACTTTGTTATTTTGTTCCGGATTCCTGAAATTAACTTATATCGTCCTGTTTCCAGGACATTGTCTGGCGGAAGGTGGACAGAACCTTCCGCAGGACCACGGGCGGCAGGTCCTTCTTCACCGACAGCCGCTACAACGGCCGCGGGTTCTCGGACCGCGCCTCATTCGTCAACATTGGCAGTGTCGACGCCGGCGTCGGCGACCGCTTCGACGGACGCTACGGCAGCTTCGGCGGCTACAACGGCGGTAGGTACAGCGGCTTCAACAGGCCGGGGTACTACGGATACAACACTGGCAGCGGTGGCTACTACGATAACAACTATAACGGGCCCTACCGCGACAGAGGAGACGGGTTCTACGATGGTTTCGGCTCCTCCAGCATGGGAAGTTTCAGCGGGGGGTATGTGCGAGACGACTACCTCGGTCCCGCCAACACCGGCTTCGGTGGCCGGCCCGGATATGACTCGGGCTACTACAGCTCTGGGTTTGGTTCTGGCTGCTCCGGCGGCGGCTGCGGCTGCGGCGGGCGGCCCTGGTATCGCTGTCTCGATAGTCGGGTTCGGCGGAGGAGGCGACACGTCTCCACCGGAGGTCGGGCCATGTCCTGCTGGGTCACCCAGGGTCCCGGCTGGTCCACGCTGACCCTGACCCGGCCCGGCCCGGAGGACGAGGGGCTCTACATGTGTGTGGGCCGCAGCGGGGGGTCGCGAGCTGTGTCGATGGAGGTGGAGTTGTCCAGGTATGTCGCCGGTGGCCGCTACCGCAGTGCACTGCTGAAAACGGAGCCCGACAGAGTGGTGGAGGAAGGGGCAGAGGGGAGAGAGGAGGAAGAGGAGGAGGCGGCGGCGAATGAGGTGGAGAAGTAAGGGATAAGACTCAGAGAGTTCGGAGGTTTTCGAGAGAGTTGCTGGTGATGGGTTGTTCTAGTGAGCTCAATGTTTCGATAAGCTCGTTGTTATCTGCTGATGCAGTGTGACTCAAATCAAACATGTTTTGTTGGTGATTTTATTGTTGCTGTTATGAAGAGTTAACACGGACACACATATATGTTGTTTAACAGTTGTGACAATCGCGCGACACGCTTGGAATACAAGTAAATGCCCTGATCTGCGTGACATAGATCGTGAACTAACTAAATAATTATTAACTCCGTGCTGACTAACCTTGTGAGTGACCGACCGGTAAATTTATGGTGCGTCTACGCCCAACCCTTTTGGGTTAAGATCGTGCGCCTACATTCGTTGATTTACAATGCACGTTAAGTACAGACATTCAAAACATATGCTAAAGTGGTGCAAAGCGTAACACAAAATCTACAAGACTACATACATAAAACTACGTATTTGAGTTTTACTAAATGCTCTTACGTGATTACAGCGCAGTTCTACAATAGCGTGAATTATCATAACAACTATCACAACGACTAACGACTGGGGTGTATGAGGTAGCCTGTAACGGCCGTACATGTAAGATCAACTAAAGATCATTGCCTTCAGCGCCCTCCTTGGTAACATCTATGTGCTGTGAGTAATACATCATCAGTTATTATACCATGCATGGTAATGGAAGGCTTCGCCCTTTTCGTGTACTTGATGGCAGTGTGTGGGCTTTAAGGACGTAGGAATGCTGTTTGGTTACATGACCTTCTTGCTCTGTTCACCAGTCAAGAGTAACCGATTCAGTAACTTGTACTGCGCAAACCTCACAAAACCTATCGAGTCACTTGACTCGGAGTCACTCTAGTACCGGTACCGGGTACCTACCGGCACGTTCAGTGTCGGCCGGACGTACCGCTGGGCCCGTAGTACACCTCCATGTACACGGGAGTACGCTGCCGCGGCGTCTGTCGGCTCACCTTGGTGGCGTAACACCGGTAGACGCCGTAGTCGGCAGCCGTGGCGTTCTTGATCACCAGCGTGGTTCTGAAAACGGACGGACAGATTGCGACAGGTTAGCGAGGTAAAACGAAGATATTTGCTGGCTGCTGCTTCATAGTTATTGGCGGATACATTTTCCCCAATAACTCGTGATTTTTTGCAAGCGTGACAGCTATCACCATCTCCAGGTCGCGGACTGGTAACCGAGGCGAACTAACTAAAAGAGATTGGTACATACAAAACTATCGAAAAAAATGCTCAAGGAACGTGAACCGCTAATAACATTCAAAAGTCTGCCGCAGAGGTGCATTTTAAGTATAGTCAACTACAGAATGATGTTCCACTCCTCAGAAGCTATCAGTTGACCGCAGCGCTAAGTTGTGCCGTTTATCACGCAATTAAGCGTGTCGATTGTGAGCATTGGGACAAAGCTATAATTTGTGAACTTAGCCCGTGTGATGCGGCACAGCCTACCACTCCAGGCAAATAATTGCCTGTGAAAAGTGGAACATCATTCTGTAGTCGACTTTACATATGTTACCCATTTTTGCTTATCTCGATATCAAGACCCTCAAGGACCGTCTCCCGCTTACTTTGGTCCGGCGATGTTGAAGCCGTAGTTGGTCGGGGTGCTGGAGACGTAGGTGTTGGGGCAGTTGAGCAGGTTCGGGTACCCCGAGACGGACGTCATCGGGTTGTTCATGTAGGCGGGACGGCCCACCTTTTGCCACACCACGTCCTGCGGGGGAGGCCAGCATTACAGGATCGGCTTGTAGAGTCGTCAGCTTCCGCTTCGTCACGTGATACAGTCGTAATGACGATTTGAATTTAAAGTGACCCCTGCCGTGACGTTTAACCCGCGCGGGGCTGGGGGGGGGGTAAATTTTACCCCCCCCTCGCGAATTTTTGCGATATCTCAAAAACGGCGGCGCGCAGCGCCGCCAAACTTTCAGTACCTTTTTTTACATCAATTTGACACCTTCCCTGAAAATTTGAGCGAAATCCGTCGGAAAATTTTTGAGAAATTGACGTTTTAGTGACGTCATGTTCGCCATTTTCGCCTCAAAAACGGCAAAAGTTCAAACGCCGCTAACATCTTCATTTTTAAAGGAATCAAGACGTAACAAAAAAGACTATACGTAATTTTACTTTGTCTATCAAATGGCTATCTCGGTTTTTTGAAAATTTTGGATTTTGGCCTAAATTTTTTCAAAAAACTGATTTTTTTGGGAAAATCATTATAAAATCCAAAATTTTGAGTCTATAAAAAAAACGGAATATATGTCAGAGAAGTGGTCTATGCGCACCTACATACCAAATTTTAGAAGAATCGGTTCAAAAATGTGGGAGTTATTCAAAATTTTATGACGTCACGACACACAAAATTTTTGAAAAATGACTTTTTTGGAAGTTCTAGACCTCGTACGGAAACAAAAATAGCACCATTCGATTCGCCGTGAAAAACTGCATCAGATAGACACCTTTTTAGGCCTTAACAACCAACTTCAAAATTTGACCTCACTTGACCTGACCTTGACCTCACCTCGACCTGAAATTCATCCAGAGGTGGTCCATATCACTTATTGAGTGTGCCTATTGAATTCTATGAGTAAAATGACCCATAAAACATGTGTCGCACATGCCCTTTTCTATATTTTGTTTTTTGGTGACCTGACCTGACCTGACCTGACCTTGACCTTGACCTCTGAATGATATTGTATGCAACTAATATTGTCTTGGTAGCCTAAGAACACGTTTTGGGCGATCAGTCTCAGTCCATGACTCCATTCTTCGGCAACTACGGTGCAAGGCCGATACTGTAGAAACTTGCAATTTGTACCCTTGACCTGACCTTGACCTTGACCTCAAACTTTAAATTAAGTACATGTTTTTAGTAGTTCGTGATGAGAGCTTTCGATTGGCGTTTGAATTTTCCAAATCGGACCATTAGTTCGGGAGATAACAGGGGGGGGGTAAAATTTACCCCCCCCCCCAGCCCCGCGCGTTCGGCTGGAGACCCCAGCCCCGCGCGGGTTAACCGTACCGTGAAGCGAAATCCTACGGTGTACCAAGCCCCTACCGTAACCGTGTCGTAACTCCTACTGTGATCTCGAACCTTATCGTGACCCATACCGTCGCCTACGACCACACCGTGACCCCAACCATGTCCTGTGACCTGTAGCCGTAACATGGTCCTTTCGTGACCTATGACCGCACCGTGACCCGTACTGTCACCCGTAACCTCACCGTGAGTACGTCCGTGGTAGGGGAGACCCCTGCCAGGGTGAAGTCACACACGAACTGTACGTTGTTCCGGCCGTCCGTGCTGATCTGACCTTGACCTAACATACTGGCCCCGCGGTAAAAGGTCCGGATGTCGGCATGTGGCGTCAGGCTGCTGAAAATAAATACGACTGTGTGAAACGGGGTATGGGTGACGAGATATGGCTGTAGGTTTGCAATTTAGGTGTAATTAGGAAACTCCGGTTTTTGCTTACTTCGGGACTTAGCATTGTTGTGGCCTGTTTTTGTAGGGCTTTCACTTGGTGCGGACCATGGAATGGGAACCATGCTCACAAAGAAGAGATAAAATACCTAAGTCACGAATCGGACGCGCACTTCTTCTTTTTGATAGCACGGTTACGCGGCCTTTTACCGGCCAAGCATGAAATAGGAATGGAGCAGAACGGGCATTTTTATGAACTCTTATTTTTCCGAAGAATTTTTCTTATCCATGGCCTTCGTCCAGGTTTGATGTGCTACGAATTGGTTGATGAGTCACCAAGCAGCAGCCTATCACGTCGCGTCAGGCGCCGGTATACTCACTGAGGTCCGGTCACGTGCGGCCGGTGGACGAACGGCCGTCCGTGTGCCCCGGGCTGCGAGTGGTGCTCATCATGGTACGTCCGCTGCTCCACCACCACCGGACGGAACCCGCCGGCGTACCGAGCACGGCCGGCGTACTCGACGTGGCCGTCGTGCCCGGACGGCGCGCCGTACCCCGTCCGGCCCTCGAAGCCGTAGTCTATGGGGATCGGTCGGGAGGGCCGGAACACGGGTATCGGCACTGCATGGAAGGGCGGAGATACTGGATGATATACAGGCGGCTGCGGGCGGTAGACGGGCGGTGCCGGGATGTAGACGGGCGGTACGGGCCGATACACGGGCGGTTCTTGGTCGTACAGAGGTTTCGTCTGCACTCTGTAGTCGTACCGCGTGGCCGTGTGGCCGTACCCGCGCCCCCCGCCGTACTTCCTCCTCCAGTACTCTGCGCCGTACAGCCCTCCGTTGTCGTACCTCCGCGGCTGGATGGGCGTCTCCACACAGACGGTGAGCTGATCGCCTCCCCCAACACAGCGCGCCGGCCGTCGGGCGGCCGCCAGCGTCGAGAGCACGGTCAGAATGGCCACCATCGTCACCGACGGGAACATGGTGGTGCCGGTGGTGCCGGTGTCACTGCTGGTGCCGCTGGTGACGGTGGTGTTTATATGAGGCCGGCACGCGGTGTGTGGGAGTCTCGGTACTGCGGCAAACAGGCACCTACGTGCCCGGTATCGAGCGGCGGCATTTTTCGGCCGCGGGGCACGGCCTGTGAGGGAATGTGACCCAGTCGGCACCCACCCCGCCTCACTCGGCTACCCCGTTCCCCGCTCCTCCACATTCGATGCACACTCATGGGGACACGTGTGGTATTTAGAGAAAAGAACTCTTGGACCATTTTATATCTAACCGATACAAGCATTTCCTAATGCTGATAAGCTCAGATAAGATCCTGCCTTGGACGTAAAAAAGTTATTCAGCTGACTACCGGGTCACGCCCGGCCTTCTATCCACGTCCGGTGCCATTGCCAATGGGCACGTGTCACTTTCGCTTTACGCACAAAAAGAATCAGAAACGAAAGAATCCAGTCCCGGGTCAACAGGATCCGTGTGACCGCACTCTCCACAAAAAGGCGAAAACTCCCCCGTTCAAGGCTGGACGCAACCGAACGTTAAATGCGCAACGGCATCGGAAATGATTCGTTAAAAGGACAGTAAACAATGCACAATAATGTTATTTTGGTAATAATTTAGATGGCATTTACTACTTCCCTAGCGTTTTTTTATGAAAATTGTGATTTAGCAGGTCAGATTAGCAGGTCAGCCCCGACTCCGACTCCGAAACCCTGGAATTGCTGGATTTAAACTTTCATTACGCATAATGAATCTCGTTATCTATCTAGTTACGGAGCGAGCGAAGCGAGCGGAGTCTTACGTAGAATAACGGAAATTTCTGAGTATGAGCGGCCGGCCGGCCGGCCGGCCGTGGTCACGCTTTTGCGAGGCTTACCTATATCTCAGCAACCACTTGACCGATTTACACGCGGCAATTTTTGTAGGGTAGCTTCATTCCTTCTACCAAGTATTGGACTATTCCCGATGCATGTGGGTGACCCCTTATGCACGTGCCACGTGCAAAACGAAGAGGTCTCCGTTTTGTAATTGTTGCAATATCTCGGTATATAACTACTTGGCCGATTGCGCTGAAAGTTGGCATGTAGGTAGGCACCCACTAGGCACTGCATATCCATGTGCCAGAGTTGGGGCGCTGCTGCACGTGCGCACGTGCAGGGGTCGTTTCCAGATCTCGAGAACGGCTCCACCGATTGCGCTCAAATTTGGTACACAGTTAGGGACCGGTTAGTAGGGTGCCGTGCGCAAGTCAGTTGGGACGCATTTTGCACGTGCGCACGTGCAGGGTGCCGCTTCCAGATCTCGAGAACGGCTGGGCCGATTGTGCCCAAATTTGGCACATCGCTAGAGACCGGTTAGTAGGGTGCCGTGCACAAGTCAGTTGGAGGTACCCCCTCGCAATTTCGCACGTGCAAGGCCCACCCTCTCGCTCGCTCCGTTAGTCGCCCCAAAAGGCGTTATACTGGTCCATATCACTCTTTGACAAGTGAGCTCTGTATCCGAATCGGAAATAGATTGCAAGCGTGGTCGTAAATATAAAATTAGGGACAAAACTGCATTCCGTAACCATTGGCCGGCCTCGGCTGGTTCCGGGATGCCAGAGGTGGGGGACAGGGGTTTCTGCAGGGCAGGGTGTGTGCAGGGGCGCACCACTACCGCTGTGGGTAGGGGTGGGGTCAGAAGGGAGGGTGTGTGCAGAGAGGCGCACCACCACTGCGACACACCCTGTCAGCTCTGTGAGCCCGCTGCGAGCACCGCTGCAGATACCATCTCTGTGCCGTCCCAGTTCAGCCCGGACACGCTCTGTTAACCTGCCCCAGCCATCAGCCCGGGGCACCCTGCACACTCCCAGTTCTCCCCGAGCCTCCCACGCGGGGAGACGCGTCCGCACCGCAGCCTCCCGGACCACGCCGGTCACCGAGACCACCTCTGACCGGACCACCATGTTCCGGCCTCTGTTACCACTCCTAGCGCTCGTGGTAGGCTTTGTAAGCCTCCCGTTGAGCGGCTCCTACTACATCGAGACCCGGTACGGCGACCGCAACTACTTCTGTCGCGATCGGTACGGTTTCGTGGGAGACTGCCGCGATGGCAAGCTGCGGCCCCGGGAGGATTACGACAACTACGGGTACCGCGAGGACCGCTACGGCAGGAAGGTCGGCCAGGGCTACTACAACATGATCGGCTCGTACGACGCCGAGATGATCTGCGACTTCGCCAGGGACGGACGGGTCCGGGACGATGTGATGGTGAGTGGGAGAAGCACAGGGAGAAGTGAGGACTGGGAAATGGGAGAAGTCGCTTATTGTTCACAGTAGTCAGTCATATTGCATCATAATGAGTCATGCGGTATATAATTACTGACAATTTTAATCTGTATGTATAGCTTTCGATAAAAAATGCATTTAAAAACAACTTATTAGGCCAAAAGTACCACGATTAATTAGCAATCTATACGTTTTAGATTTCTTAGTAAGCTAAGCCCCTAGTAGTCACTAGTACCTATTACCCATGCCTACATTTGGTGCAATTGTCACTCCAAGCCTGCGAAATTCTAATATGTAGACGGTGGACAAAGGGATAGTAACCGTTTAAGCGGTTAAATGGTTCGCTCTCCTGTGGCACACCAGCATCAGCGGGCTGGCTCGATCACTGCTGTGCATAAATCGGTGGCCCAACGTCTCATGCTTTATCCTCTCACCGAAGGCCCGTGAAATAAGAAAGTTGTTATTGCATTCAACGAAGGGGCCTAAACGATTAAAAATAAACATTTCTTGCTAAGAGGTCCTTAAAAAAACTTTTTCACTTTGCGCAGACCGCAATGCATGCGCCATCTCAGTACGTTCACTGTGCTCCCCCACAGGACATCGTCTGGTGGAAGGTGTACGACGAGGACGACGATTACCGCCGACGGGGCCGGGACTACGACTCGCCGTTCCGCCGCTACCGGATGCTGCGTCACCGGGAGCGGGGCGATCGGGACCGCCGCCGGTACCGGTTCAGCTACCGGCGCTACTACGACAGTCCGCACTACCGCCGCTCGCGACACTACGACTACAGGCGCGGTCTGATGAGGGACGACGACTACATCAACGGCTACCGCGACTGGTACAACGACGACCACTTCCGCTCCAGCCTGCGCGTCTACACACAGGGCGACCGGTGAGCAGCGCCTCTGGCGGAGAATGAGTCAAGTATTAGTGAGAAAAGTCACGCTAGGTATACGACGGGTTACGGACAAAAGTACGTATCGCTAAAGTACGTAGGACAAAAGTACGTAAGCAAAAGTACGTAGGATTAAAGTACGTATCGCAGAAGTACGTACAGTATAAACTACGTATGGACAAAAGTAGGGGAAGGTGGGGTAAGACGGACCAGCTAAGGTTTGAGGCCGCATATCTTGCTACACTGCTGTCGTAATTCATATTATTTATAGTCTTCGGAATGCTCAATCCTTCCTCTGTTGATATGTGTAAAGACTAAATTTCAAATTAAAGACATCTAGGTGGTGGATGCTCTTAAAGAGTGACATATCAAAAACTCAGACAAGAAAAAACGTGGGGAAAGACGGACCACCCAGCAGTGCCTGCTATCCGTTCATGTGTGTTACACTTCTGCTCTGTACTCTTGTAAGAAAAAGTAACCAGAATGGTAAAATCACAAAATGAGCCTTTATTCTTTACTCATGTGTGATGGAAGTGCAGCTAAAAGTCAGGAACATGTGTGTTGATTGTCGTTTGGCATGAATGCATGCTAACTGAGCACTTGCATGCATGGCTCACATGCAACAAAGACTCCTTCCTGAAAAATTAGCTTACTTAAACTTGTGTCAATGTTTTGGAAAAGAACTTTCCATATGCAGGGTACAATGGACCACCACAGGGTAAGATGGATCACAGTGGTCCGTCTTGCCCCAAACCTAAATTCTGTCATTATCATGACGTATATGTCAAATAGCCCAACATTGCAAAACCTTGCCTTTCCTAAAGTGTGACTATAGCTAAGTTTATAACTTTGTTCTTCACAGTTAAGTGCAAAATAGAAACTAATCATGCAAGAAAGGCGCCGTAATTGAATCACCCGTGGACCTCTTATATTAGATCGGTTTGACGAAAAACAACATTTTTCTCAATAACTCAAAAGCTATGCATCCTAGCAGCATGAGCTCAAGGTGGCCATTGTTACGAAGGAAAACAAACATAGTGAGTGCATAAAGCAGTAGATACCAGCAGCGGTTCAGCCGGGAGGGCTGGTGGTCCGTCTTGCCCCGCTGGGCCGTCTTACCCCACCTTCCCCTACGTCAGGGACAAAAGTACGTATCGCAGAAGTACGTACAGTATAAAGTACGTATGGACAAAAGTACGTCAGGGACAAAAGTACGTATCGCAGAAGTACGTACAGTATAAAGTACGTATGGACAAAAGTACGTCAGGGACAAAAGTACGTATAGCTAATGTACGTAGGGTAAAAAGTACGTATGGACAAAAGTACGTCAGGGACAAAAGAACGTATCGCAGAAGTACATAGGGTATAAAGTACGTATGGACAAAAGTACGTCACGGACAAAAGTACGTATAGCTAATGTACGTAGGGTAAAAAGTACGTATGGACAAAAGTACGTCACGGACAAAAGTACGTCACGGACAAAAGTACGTATGGCAGAAGTACGTAAGGGTATTAAGTACGTAAACGTATGGACAAAAGTACGTCACGTACAAAAGTACATATATCAAATGTACGTAGGGTATAATGAAGGATAAAGACACAAGGTAAAGACCTTGGGCAAGACGCCCCAGATAATCTATTTTGCTACATAGGCCTACCAGGCCTACCTAAATTTTGTGCTACATCACCTGGAAGGCCAAATTTGTGCTCAATGTGTTCTTTGGACATTTTACTTTGAATTCCACCCCTCAAATTCATTCACTTATGATCGGACTCCCAGCTAGGAAGTAATTTGTGAAGCAACTGCAAATGGGACATTTTGCCCCAACCCCAGGGCAAAACGCCCCACGGCCTGAGGCAAGAAGCCCCATACTCTAGAGTCTAGCTTAAAGATTAACCATGGTAGTTGGCTAAATCTTATATGAGAGATCCGTTAGACCGCTGGAGGCACGGCACTGAAGTTAGCACCTTCCATCCTATCAGGTGTTCAGCTATGACACTATTGTATGAGCAGGTTTTTCACGTGCCTCATAAGGCCAAATAATAAATTATTGCAATGCAAATCAGTTAACAATACACTTCCTTTGCCATACAGTTGCTGAGAAAAATACATATAAATGCATAGAAACTTGCTGTTCGCCAGCTACCGAACATTAGGAAGTGGGTAGTCCGAACAACACATGAGGTAAAACGCCCCATGGGGCTTTTTGCCCCGCGACCTACTGGGGTGTTTTACCCCATCATCTTGCCCCATCATGTAGTTCGGTCAGCGAACAACGCCTTGCGCTCCAGCAAGACATAATTTAACACGAACCAACCCGGCATTATACAGGGTGGGGCAGCATAATCGGGAATGCTTTTTGGGCTCTAATCATGAGTAGGCATGACATTATTTTGATAAATTATAGCATGGCAATGAAACGCCCAAAAGTTGTGCATCATCTAACATGACTACATCCATGAGCATGCAACCTCCTGGAAAAGAGCAGCAAAATAGTTCGACGGTGCTCCAAGTGCTTTGCGCGCGCCCATAGACACTAATGTTAAACGAGTAAAACAAGAACATTTTGTTGAAACCCCTGCAATTCCACGTAAAGGTTGCTGGACAGGTCAACGTGTTATCACGGACAATAAGGATTGTGTGGGAATACTTAGGACAAAAGGTTAACGTAATCGTCGTAAAATAACTCTTAGCAGAGGACATACAGATGACTCACTTGAATATAAGGAAGACGCTCTTGAGCATATTAAAAAGAAACAATGTTCAAAACTTCAGCGACCAAAAATCTCACCACCGACTGGAATACGACAAAAAAGAATGGCAAGCCATATAGGGGATTGTATCGAGAATATTCCAGCGGTCATGCAAAGTAAACATCCTGTTGGGGTGATGGACCTATGGGTGGTCTTCAAGGGAGGTGCACGTGGTGCACCCTACTTCATCGAGCCCAGATAAAATGAGCACCTCTGGTAAATACATCCGCACTGTGGCAGACTCATGTGGAGCCGTCGGAACAGAGGATCACTGACGGTCCAGATCACGTCTTACGAGGACTCTGTCCGTGCTGGTACTGCAGTGAGGACGACATGTTATTGTGTAGGGCACCTCCACCTGAGATGAACCAAAAACTTCTGGTCCTTCAACTCCGCCGATTTAAATCCGACCAAATTCTTTACATGGAGCGTTTTTTGGTAGAAGGTTAATGAACAACTTATCATCAGTAAAGACGGTCTTCAGTGCAAGGTACGATGCTGATGGGCGATCATGGACAAGCAGGAGGTTGCACGTGCATGCGCGTGCTTTTGGACCCGCCTTGAGAAGGTCATCGACGCCGAGGGCGGTCACATAGGATGAGAGATAGGTAAAAGGTGACCAATTGATGGGATGTTGCTAAAATAGTGCTTGGAGCTGTATTTTTAAATTCATGACCAAATAATCCCGTTTGATATTTATTCCCGATTATGCTGCCCCACCCTGTAAGCGTTAGACAATAGTTGTTCAAAATACATAAAAGTCGTTAACCTGATGTGGACTACAAAAGAAAGCGAGGATGCATAATCAGATGACCAAACATAAAAATCACTAAAAAAACAACACATTTTTGGCTATATCTCCCTAGAGAGTTATCACAATTTCTTTCCAGCTCATATAATGATCATAAAGTGCACGTTTAACAGAAGAGAGGACCTTTCCCCAGAACCCTGTCAGTTCCGAGAGATATCGGTGGGGCCGCCAGGCGTTTTACCTCGGCGGGGCGACTTGCCCCGGTCTACCCTACGTGTGGACCAAATACGTCACGGACAAAAGTACGTATAGCAAATGTACGTAGGGTATAAAGTACGTACCCCACCCATGGGGTAAGTTGATCAATGTGTAATACCTTTCTTATTCTTTATTTAATGAGCATTTGTTACAAGGCATAGCCAAATTTCTCGATGAGTAAATGGGCGAAAGGAACAAAGCTATATTATTTGGTACCTAATGAATTTATCATGAGTTCCCTATAGTATGGCAACAGGGCAGCAATAAAGAAAAAGTGGCCCAACTTACACTACTATACCCTACTTCTAGCATACGTACTTATACACTACGTACTTTGGCATACGAACCGTACGTACTTTTGGCATACGTACTTTTTACACTACGTACTTTTTCATACGAATTTTTGCGTACGAACATTTGCGTACGTACTTTTGGCATACGTACTTTATACACTACGTACTTTTGCAAACGTACTTTTGCGTACGAACATTTGCGTACGTACTTTTGGCATACGTACTTTATACACTACGTACTTTTGGATACGAACTTTTGCGTACGAACATTTGCGTACGTACTTTTGGCATACGTACTTTTTACACTACGTACTTTTGCATACGTACTTTTGCGTACGAACATTTGCGTACGTACTTTTGGCATATGTACTTTATGCACTACGTACTTTTTCATCCGTACTTTTGCGTACGAACATTTGCGTACGTACTTTTGACATACGTACTTTATGCACTACGTACTTTTGCATACGTACTTTTACGTACGAACATTTGCGTACGTACTTTTGGCATACGAACTTTAGCGCCTACGTATATTTGCGTACGAACATTTGCATACGTACTTTTGTCCTACGTACTTTAGCGATACGTACTTTAGTCCTAAAATCGTATACGACTGCTGCCGCGCCGGCAGGCGCCTGCCCCGCTATGCGAGTGCGAATGTATAAAGGATATGTGAGGCATGCAAAACGAAATTAACATTGGTGTGGCCAGTGACTGCAGGTTCCCCTTATTCAAAATTCTGACCTGAGGAAGTCTCCAGACAAAAGACCTTCCCGATACGGAGAGAGGTGCCTCCTAGTCCTGACCCGCCAGGTTCCTCCCAAAGGGCAGCGGTCTCCCGTCAGATTAGGCGGCCCGGGCTTGGGGTTACATGACATGAGATAGATCTGATGGCCCGGCAGAGAACCCCCCCCCCCCCCCGACAGATAATTCTATCCCGACAGAGGCCGGTTCTCTGCAATGAGAAACAGGCTCACGGGCCTCGAACACAATTGCCAGTGGGACCGACTCTGTCCCCTAACCACATTGGCCTGCCCAGTGCCGTGCCCATCCGTCGATCTCTCTGACCCTCTCGTCTTTCTCCCCTCTCTTTCTTCTCTCTCTCCCTCTCTCTCTCTCTCTCCCTCTCTCTCTCTCCCTCCCTCTCTCCCTCTTTCTCCCCCTCTCTCTCTCTCTCTCTCTCTCTCTCTCTCTCTCTCTCTCTCTCTCTCTCTCTCTCTCTCTCTCTCCCTCCTCAGATCAACGCTCTACCTGCGCGACATTCAACCGGAGGACCTGGGTCTCTACCGCTGTCAGGGTCGCCTTCGCTCGCGGTCCCGGCGTGATCCAGACGACGACATGGTCTACATGGACATTCAGTTCTACCCGGTGGCCAACTAGACTAGAGACACTAGAGTGGAAAGAGAAGAGCGATTAAAGCAAAACCGGCGTGTGCCTCCTGGTGCCATGTCTCTGTGAATTTCAAAGGCATGGAGATGATTGAGACGGACAATAAGCTGGAGACTTTATGGGAATGTATATCCCAGAGCCCGGGATCCGAACGGGCGATTTTCCAGCGAAGTTCGAGCGATTCTGATGCTGTCGGTGAAACAGTGCGACCGTACATACAGCTGATTGTTCTTGTTGAACAGACAAGAAGCTCGCTGTGCCGATAAGTGCCGGTTTTAGTGCTTACCTAATACTTATCAGCATTTTGAGTAATAAACATGGGTATGAATATCAATTAATGGTTTTGAAGGCTATTTGAAAGGCAATGCTTTTTACATATTTTTTATTTGGTTGCCACGCAGTTTTGGTGACATTTAATTCACTGCAGGGAACTTAATAAAAGTGGTCGTTCTTATTGCATTGGAAGCTATCTGTTCCGTACTTCCACTTCGAAACCTAACTCCTATAGCACAGTCAACCATCATTTGTTTCCTTTGCAAACCAGTTTCAAGAGCGATGCAATGTAATCCCGCTCGTTTTCCCATCCAATTTTTCTTCTCTTTCTCGAGGTTTGGTCCGTTTCGGTTGCAGAGAATCGCAACAGTTTCATCTAGAACTCGTCCCCCTGGGCTCAATAGACTTCCGCTGGCTGTGGCGAGAGCACACCTGGGACGAGAATCACCACCAATCCTGGCAGATCGTGTGTAATGCTGAAAAATGAGCCCACACCTGGATAAATGTGAAGTTGAGGGTACGACGCAAGACGAATCGTTATGGGCTCCGGTATTTCATTCAAGCATAGCCAGCCTGACCCAGGCCGACGACATGTGATATTTAATCGGCACAACGCAAGTCGAGTGTTCCGAATACGTAATTTTTGGCAATGCTGGTAATGCCGAGAAGTTCAAAGCTTTTGCAAAAAAAATATTAGCTTTGGAAAAGGAGCATGTTTATCGACACCGTCTGCGCTATAATGCACTTGTCTCGATCGGTACAATAGGGGAAGTTGGGGGAACGCCGAATACTTTTTTTCTGACGCCCGTAGCACGCAAGGTAGACAACATAAGCTAGTCTTGTTGGCGTCATTCGAGAGGCCAGTCTTTTGCCTTTCAAACATACCAGGCGCATTTGATGAATTCGCATACCGTTAAGCGCACAAACTAAAAATATCAAAGAAGTGACTTTTTCGGCGTTGCCCCGGACTGCGGGGAAAGCCGAAAATGGGAGAAATGATCTACGGGGAATGCCGACATTGATGTTTTGCCACTTTATCTCAAACTTTATCCAGAATTTATCAAAGCTGACACGAGTTTTAAGAGCTTGAGGACGCTTGGTGCACACTGGAAGTTATAATTGTGTGATATAAAAAGAAAATGCCAGGTAAATAATTCCTTATAGGTAACAGGCCGTTGTGTCGGTTGAAAGTGTAATTTGTGTGACTAAAAATTCGCGTTGCTATTCTACAGCAGTAAAGTCCACGTAGCGTGCTTTAACGTGCGTAATTGCACGTTTTCGGCATTACCCCAGCCAGCCATACTTTCATTTGCAGGCGCATAACTTTTCAACGTGCCGTATAAATTTCAAATAGGCAGCACACTTATGCAAAGACATGCTGAAGATTACTTGACCGAATTGGCCAGACAAACGGTAAGGTAGTGTGCCAGCTTTCTTGGACCGTATGGAGTTAATGGCCCATGTTCAGTCCGGCGTCTTTCAAATCAAACACATGGCAAAAAAATAAAGATAGTATTGGCAGGCGGGCTAAAACAAATCAGGCAGTTACATTCCGTTCTCAATCTCACCGAAAACCCATGCAACTCTCCTCTTCTTTTTTCTGTTTCCGAAATTTTCACTTAATATTTTTCTCGTGCAAGTCTCACTTCGAATAACCAAAAACTACCTCCACTGCGCCGCGTCTGTCCATTTCTCCCCCCTGTGGAGGATCTAGGGTCCTCCACTACCGCTGCAGTCCAAGGGGCACAGTTTGGTGATCGGTCGGCGGAGGACTTGGCGGTTTCGTCGAACGTCTACGACCCGCACATGGCCGTCTTGCCCAGCGTGAACAGCCTCTACGACCACGAGAGGCCATTGTCCTCGCGGTGTGTTGGGATCGAGGAGCAGCATGACGTCTCCCACGTCCACGTCTTTCTTCACTTCTTGCCACTTGTGCCGTTGTGACAGAGTCGGCAGCAGCTCTCTCTGAAAGCGCTTCCATATCTTGGAGACGAGTTCCTGAATGTGCCGCCAGCGTCGGCGAAGCCCACCTACCGATTGTGCAGTCATCTCGGCCGTCATCAGGCTGTCACCCATCTGTCCTATCAGGAAGTGGTTTGGTGTCAGACATGGCTCGTCTCTTGCGTCTGCGCCGCAGTATGTCAGCGGTCTTGAGTTTAAGACAGCTTCCACTTCCGCAAAGGCTGTGCACAGTTCATCATCTGTCACTGATGCTCTGGTTAGCACGACATTCAGCGCTCGCTTGGCTGACTTGATCATGGATTCGAACACTCCCCCATGGTGAGGAGCTGATGGAGGGTTCAGCTTCCAGCTCACGCCTTCTTGACCCAGCTTGCGTGAGATTTCAGGAGCCGCTTGTTCGATCCGACTAAGCTCCATTTTGGCTCCCAGGAAGTTCCGTCCATTGTCACTTGTGATCATCTTTGGCTTTCCTCTCCTTGCTACCATGCGAGAGAAGGCGAGAAGAAATGCGTCGGCGGTCAAATCAACCGCCATCTCCAGGTGAACTGCACGTGTTGCCATACACGTGAACAGACACAAGTATCGCTTGGCTGTAGTTCTGGACGTCACCTTAGTGAAGTACGGACCAGCGAAATCGACCCCACAGCAGGCAAAGGCGCGCATTTCATTTCCCAGACGACATTCTGGGAGTGGGGCCATGATCTGCTCTCCCGGTGAAGCTCGTCTTCTTCGGCAGTAGCTGCAGCGGAAGTCCCATGATTTCACCGCTTGCCGTCCGTTCACGATCCAGAATCGCTGCCTCGTCTCTGCGAGCACGTGATTCACACCAGCATGTTTGAGCCGTTCATGTGCGTCTTGTATCACCAGTCGAGTGAAGTGGCTCTTCTGAGGCAGGATGAGTGGATGTTTCACATCATCTGTTACATCTGCATTGTGCAGACGACCCGTCACTCTGAGCATACCGGTCTCAGAGACCTGCGGCGTGAGGCTGGCGATGCTACTGGACCGGTCAACAACTCCATGGCTCTGTAGGTCAGTCAGTTCCTTTTGAAAAGTCCGCTGCTGGGTTACCTTTATCCAGTAGTTTTCTGCCACTTGCAGCTCTTCGGCTGTCAGCGTTCCACTCCTTTTGTGCTCATGATCCGCTCGACAGTTGCTGCTGAAACGGATAACCCAAGCTGTAATCCTCAGAAGGCGCTTCAGAGAAGAGAACTTGGTCTCATTCAGGACAGTCTGCTGCTGCTGAGCGGGGAAGGAAAGCTTCACCTTCCTTCGTTCTTTGTCAGCTTCTGGAGTTGACGCCACCAGGCGTCGTTCGGGCCAGCTTGCTGGGTCACCTCGCAGGAACTCCGGTCCAGCAATCCAGCGGCAGTCTGAGGTGAGCTGATTCGCACTCAGCCCACGAGAAGCATCATCAGCAGGATTTTGGCCCCCTGGAACGTGACGCCACTGACCTGGACAGGTTTCTTGCTGAATGCTGGCGATTCGGTTGGCGACGAATGGCTTGAACTGTCGTGACTCAGATTTTATCCATGCCAGGACATTCATGCTGTCAGTCCAGAAGTGGTGGTTCTCGACTGGGATTTGAAGCGAGATGGCGACCTTTTGGCTCAGCTGTACACCCACCTGCGCACCCATGAGCTCCAGACGAGGGATGCTGGTAGCACTCAGTGGCGCTACTCTTGTCTTAGCAGCTACGAACGTGACTGTCACACTTCCGTCGCTGAAGACGTACCTGATGTACGTCACTGCTCCAAATGCTTTTTCTGATGCATCAGTAAATGTATGCAGAGATACATCACATATGTCTTGACGATCCGGGCGTAAGCAGCGTGGAATGCTGATCTGGTGCAGCTCCTCCACTTCCTGGAACCAGCCACGCCAGGATTTTAGCAGATCAGCTGGCATTGCTTCGTCCCATCCGATGCCTTCTTGCCAGCAGCGCTGTATTCCAATCTTCGCTCTGATCGTGAATGGGACTAAGAAGCCAATGGGATCAAAGATGGTGCACACCTTGGACAGCACCCCTCTCTTTGTGTACACAATCTTCTCCGGGGTGATGACGTCGTACACAAATTGATCAGCCTCTGCGTTCCACTGAATTCCCAGGATTTTTGTCGTTGGCAGCCCGGAGCTGTCTGGATTGATGGTGACCTTGTCCTCATCTGGGACTCCATCAAGAGGAGCTGAGCGATTGGAGCACCATCTTCGTATCGAGAATCCTCCCTTCGATAGCAGCTGGGTGAGCTCCTCTCTTGCCTGCCTGGCCTCCTCTTCTGTCTCCAGACAGGTCATCACGTCGTCCACATAGGTTTCTTCCTTGATGATGTTGGCAGCCAGCGGAAAGTCTTCTTTTTCTTTCTCGGCATGGTGCAGCAGAACCTTCTGAGCCAGAAAGGGAGAAGCACGTCCACCGAATATGATCCTAGTAGACTCATATACGTCAGGCTCTCGTTCACACTCCATGTTCCTCCACAGGAATCGGTGGAAGCATCTGTCACTCTCCTTCAACCAGATCTGGCTAAACATCTCCTTGATGTCTCCTACCAGAGCAACTGGTCTTCGTCTGAACCTGAGTAGCAGGTCCACGATGTCATTTTGCAGTTTTGGTCCGGGCAGCATTTCTGAGTTCAGACTGCGTCCTCCAACCTGGAACGCGGCATCCATCACAAATCTCACTTTTGTGGTTTGCTTGTCTTCTCTTACGACTGGGAAATGCGGCAGGTACCAGCAGGCCTCGTTTTGTATGGCAACGTCAGATTCCTCCAGCTTGCGGACGTATCCCTTTTCTAGATTCGATGCGATCACTTCCTCATACTTGTCCTTCAAGTCTGGCTTCTTCAGCAGACTGGCCTCCAAACTTCGCAGCCTCGCCAGCGCCACGCTCTTGTTGTTACTTCTCTGATTGAGAGCAGGTGTGTGACCTTTCCAGGGCACGCCAACTTCGTACCGTCCGTCTTGCATCGCCATCGTTTCTTCAGCGTGCGCCACCGCACTTTTTTCGTCAGTTGTGAGAGGGCTCTTGCGATCTGACATTGGCTGAAAACTGTCTATCTCCCAGAACTGTCGAAGAATTCTGTCCAGTCCAGCCTCCTCAGA